GCGCGGCCGCGGCCCCGGCCCCGGCCCCCCACGCGAGACCCTGCCGGCATGCCTCCGTGCCCCGGGCCGGCCCCTCCCCGAGCGCATCTCATGCCCCCGTGCCCCGCAGGGTGGACTCCATCATGCTGCTGGAGGAGGGCTTCAGCGTGACCAGCGTGGACGCCAGCGACAAGATGCTCAAGTACGCCCTGAAGGAGCGGTGGGAGCGGCGCAAAGAGGAGCCCTTCGACAAATGGGGTAGGCCTGCCCGCACCCTGCCCCGCGGGGCTGCCAGCCGGGGCTGCCCACCCCCTCTCTGGGCCCATCTCGCCCTCGGGTCTCCTCCCTTCCCTGGCAACAGGGGCTCTGGGGAACGGCCTGCCAGTCAGCCTCTCCCCCTTCGTGTTTGTCCTGCTGGTGCTGAGGGCTCCAGGTCGGGTTAAACTTGGCCGGAGAGGCCCCCAGTGTCAGGCATGACCAATCCCACTGGCTGCTGGCATCTCCTGACACCCCCAGCAGAGGGGAAGAGTCAATCGTTAATAGCAAGTGGCACAGTCTGGCTGTTGCCAGCTGTCTACAGCAAGCAGGTTGTGAGCCCTGGTGTCATCAGCATAGCTGGCCCTCTTTCTGCCTGTTGGAGGTCTGAGAGGCCTCTCTAGTAAGGGAGGATCTGACACCCTCAGCCACAATCTGCTAAATGAGCACTCCGCCATCCTCCTCCTTGCCCCTAGTATACAAGTGAGCACTGATCACAGAGGGACTGAGCCAGGGGGATGCAGGAAGACCGTCCAGGTCACCCAAGTCTAACCTAGGCTGGTGCCCCGACAGCTGGGCCTCTGAATCCTGTGTCTCGGCCAGCCACCATGCTGTAGACACTGCACGCCTGCAGCAGGAGGAGAATGGGGCTTGTGTGGTTTTGCTCTTTTGTGACATGTCAGAGAGCTGGGGGGGGGTTCTGCAGGCTTCTCCATTCATGATGCATGGTTTGTCTGCCCCCTCTGTCCCAGTTGGTTCTGGGGAGCTAGCTGGGTGTAGCTTCAGACATGCAGTGCAGCTGGAAACCTGTTATGGAGGGTAGGGGACTCAAAGTTGAACAGATATTAATTGATGCTGGAAACCTGTTATGGAGGGTAGGGGACTCAGAGTTGAACAGATACTAATTGATAGGGCTGTGCAAGGCTTTGGACAGAGCTTTGGATCTGGAGAAGCTCCCGGTGCTTCGGGGTCCAAAGCAGCACATCTGGGTCGAAGCGCTGCCTCGTTCAGCTTCCCAAAGTGCCTCGGAGCTGCCTCGGCGATCCGGCCATAGGGTATAATAGGGAAACAATAAAATATCTATAACTTTGTTGGTTTTTGTCTGATTTGGATGACATTTTCAGGGGTGGTAGACTCTGCAGGGAGGATGAAGCCTGACAAGTTTCAAGAAGATCGGTGCAGAGGCTTGGGGGGAACAGTACCCCAAACCCTTGAAAGCAAAACTCCTGTCACGTCTATGTGTTACAACACAGGGGGGG